CCGCTCCTCGGCTCCGGACTGCTCAGGTCCCACAGCGCCGGTCGCCGCGGGTCAGTGTCATGTGACTCCTTCCCCAGCCTCTGAGCCTGAGCCGGGACCTCTCGGTTAAGGGTCCGATCTCCGCAGAGAATCCGAAGGTGCCCTGCTCCTGGAGGTCTCTGGAGGGCGGTAGCCCAGGCTGCGGTCCCCTGGGCCGTCCCAGGTTCGATGAAACTTCAGAAAGCTGGTTGTCGGTTCTGGGGTGGGGGTCTCCGGTGGTAGGGGGCCTGCGTCTGGGGATGTCAGGTGCTGGGTCTTGGAGTGCCTGATGGGGTGGTCTGAGCCCGGGTTTCAGAGGGGGTGCCTGGGTCTGGGGAGGGGGCCCTGGGCCTGTGTCTCAGCGGGGTGCCTGGACCTGGGTCTGGCAGGGGGGTGTCATGGTCTGGGGGAGGGACTACTGGAACTCTCTTGCTTTCCCTCCTAAGGGTCTCTGGTGACATACCCGTCTGTCCCCTGTGCCATGGGGGCACAGTGGGCCCTCCTGCTGGCCTGGGCTGCAGGCCTGGCCACTGCCCTCCCACCTAACATTGTGCTGATCTTTGCTGACGACCTGGGTTACGGGGACCTGGGCTCCTACGGGCACCCCACTTCCACCACTCCCAACCTGGACCAGCTGGCTGCAGGCGGGCTGCGGTTCACAGACTTCTATGTGCCTGTGTCGCTATGCACACCCTCCCGGTGAGCCAGGGGTGCCCTAACCCCACCCCACCCCCATCCACCCAGGTCCTGAATATTCGGTGCACTGCAGTGGGGGAGGGGAGCCCACACACCTGCATCCCTGTCCCCCCCCCTCCCACCTCTTCCCCCCATCCTGGGGTCCCAGGGTCCGTCCTGATCTGCCCTGGACTTTGTGACTGTGCTGCAGGGCGGCCCTCCTGACCGGCCGACTCCCAGTCCGGTCAGGCTTGTACCCTGGAGTCCTGGAGCCCAGCTCCCGTGGGGGTCTGCCCCTGGAGGAAGTGACCCTGGCTGAGGTCCTGGCTGCCCAAGGCTACCTCACAGGGATGGCTGGCAAGTGGCACCTGGGGGTAGGGCCAGAGGGGGTCTTCCTGCCCCCGCATCAGGGCTTTCATCGATTCTTGGGCATCCCGTACTCCCACGACCAGGTATGCACTGCCAGGCCCCTCGGTGCCTTCCCTGCCCACCTCCCAACCCCTGCCTTCTGACCTCCCAGTCAGTCCCTCCCCTCACTGGAGCTGCCTCCCAGGGACCCTGCCAGAACCTTACCTGCTTCCCACCGGCCACCCCCTGTGACGGTGGCTGTGACCAAGGTTTGGTCCCTATCCCACTACTGGCCAACCTGTCAGTGGAGGAGCAGCCACCCTGGCTGCCTGGACTGGAGGCCCGCTACGTGGCATTTGCCCGTGACCTCATGGCTGATGCCCAGCGCGAGGGCCGCCCGTTCTTCTTGTACTACGCCTCCCACGTGAGTAACCCTGCCCTGCCCTCTGGCTGCCTATGACCCCTGCGTGATACTGACCCCAGCCTTTGTCCCCAGCATACCCACTACCCGCAGTTTAGCGGGCACAACTTCGTAGGGCGCTCGGGACGCGGGCCCTTTGGGGACTCCTTGATGGAGCTGGATGCGGCTGTGGGGGCCCTGATGACGGCTGTGGGGGACCTGGGACTGCTCGGAGAGACCCTGGTCATCTTCACTGCAGACAATGGGTACGCTGCTGGGCAAGACAGGTTCCTTGCTGTGTCAGACCAGGGCCCTGAGGTTCTTCCAGCTGCACTGTCAGCCAAGGACCTGGTGGGAAGTGAGGCTCAGCTGTGGGCTGGAGGCCAGGGGCCACAGAGGACCTAGTGCCGGTCTTGGTAGGCCTGGGAGGGGCTGTGCACACCGGTGTGTCTGGACGAGGCTGGTGACTTAGAAGGAGTGGGCAGAGGCCCAACTACTGTCACTGCTGACCTCTCTGTGCGTCCCAGACCTGAGACGATGCGCATGTCCCGTGGGGGCTGCTCTGGCCTCCTGCGATGTGGAAAAGGAACAACCTTCGAGGGAGGTGTTCGAGAGCCTGCCTTCGCCTTCTGGCCCGGCCACATTGCTCCTGGTCAGTCCCCAGGCTCTCCCTGTGGACTCCCAGCTACTTCTCCAGCCTTGATGTGAGCGGGTGACCGAGCAGCCCTCTGCCCCCAGGCGTGACCCATGAGCTGGCCAGCTCCCTGGACCTGCTGCCCACCCTGGCAGCCCTGAGCGGGGCTCCACTGCCCAATGTCACCTTGGATGGTACCGACCTCAGCCCCCTACTGTTGGGCACAGGCAAGGTAGAGCTGCAGCCACCCTGCCCACTGCTCGGCCTCCCAGTGCAGCGCGCCCCCTCTGCTAGGCGGGTGCCAGTGGGCGGGAGATGGTGCATGTCCAGGCTCCTGCACCAGACGGCCGCTGAGTCTGCTTGGGAACTTTCTCTCGCCTGTGGCCTGCCTTTGCCCCCAGAGCCCTCGGCAGTCTCTCTTCTTCTACCCGGCCTACCCAGACGAGGTCCACGGTGTCTTCGCTGTGCGCAGTGGGAAGTACAAGGCTCACTTCTTCACCCAGGGTGAGTCTCTCCCCTGGGGACACCCCAGGGAGCCCAGAACCCAGCCCCCTCTGACCCTTGCCTAGTACACAGAATTGACCCCTCCCCAGGCTCTGTCCACAGCGATACCACTGCAGACCCCACCTGCCACGCCTCCAGCCCTCTGACTGCGCATGACCCTCCGCTGCTCTACAACTTGTCTGAGGACCCTGGTGAGAACTACAACCTTCTAGAGGATCTGGCAGAGGTCAGCCCAGAGGTGGTAGAGACGCTGAAGCAGCTCCAGCTGCTCAAGGCTCAGTTTGATGCAGCCATGACCTTCGGCCCCAGTGAGATGTCCCGGGGCAAGGACCCTGGCCTGCAAATCTGCTGCCAGCCCAGCTGCACTCCCCACCCGGCCTGCTGCCACTGCCCGTCCCCCCACCCCTGAGCTGGCCATCCCCGAGAGGTGTAGTAGGGATAGCTGACGCCGTAATAACACCAGCTGAGAAGTGAAGCGTGCTGATTCCTCTCCCCGTGTAAACCCTGTGAGGTTGGTGCCGCTCCGTTACAAATAAGGAAACTGAGGCGCAGGGCACTTAGGGGCTTGCCCAGGGTCTCCCAGCAGAAAGAGATGGATCTGGAAATTAAACCTGGGCTTTCTGGCTCCGGAACCCACCCCACCCCCTTAGCCACCTTCCCAGTCAGTGTACACACACACGCATCCACTCCAGGAGCAGTCCCAAGTACCTTTAAGTACCAGAAATGGGAGTGGAGAGGGGAGTGTGAAGAGCTTGGTGGCCAGAAGACCCCAAAGATGCAAAGAGCCTAGAAGAGAGGTTTTCCCCAGAAGGACACATTCTCAGAGGTGGGAACCAAACTGCAGGGTTATCAGACACCTGACAGGCAGGTGACAGCTACATGTCCCTAGGAAGGCAGGTCAGCAGGTCCAGAGCCAGCCCCGCCCCAGGCTCAGCACTCCCCACACTCCTCCCTCTCCCCCAGCAAAGGGATTGTGTGCAGCTGTCTCTTGGGTGGGTTCCCTCCTGCCCGGAGTTCTGTAGGCTTCCCACCACTCAGGCGAAGCCCATACTCTTGGTTCTGGGGTTGGCCTGGCTGTTCTGCCCCCCGCAACACCTGCGTCTGTCACCCCTTCTCGGCAGAGGGGCTTCCCGACCACCTGCCCGTGTGTCGCAGCAAATCAGGCCGATGGCAGGCCACTTGTGAATCCAGATGCAGGTCCCTCACTGAGTGTTCATGTGGCCCTGGCTGGACAAGGGATGCTGCCTGGGGGTCCTGCAGGCCTACCTGCCAGTGCCCCTTCCTTACCGACACACCTGCAGTCTCAGCAGTGGGCAGATGTCCCTGGACCTCAGGGATATAGCCTCTCTCTGTCCCAGGAGGCTGTAACCAGCCTGAGCCAATCCACTGATTGGCCCCATAGGGGCCTGTGACCAAGATCCTGGAGGTGAAAGGGCGAGGCCTGTGCCATGGCAGCTACACCCTGACTGGACCCTGGCAGCGCCCCTCCGTACAGAGCTCCGAGTGTGAGGAAATGAACAGCCTGTCACAGCCAGTGCGGTGGGTGTCTGTCCTCCCCGTGAAGCAGCCTGTCGGACTGTGCCTGCAAAGGGGCATGTGGCAGGCACGCGGTGTACTTGGTGTGGGGGCCACGCTGACCGCACGATGGAGGGCAGTGGCATGAGGAGGCCCCACCTGCTGCACTTGTGGTCTGAGTGGAAGTGCTGACCCCGATGGCGCCTTGGTTCAGGGTGAGGACAGAGAGGGACCGAAGTGGGTACAAGGCCAGACCTCAGAACCAAGTACTACCAGCTGGGCCCCTGCTGCAGCTCTTTGACCAGGTCCGTGGCCATGTTCATCCCACCAGGCCTTGTGGGGCAGCACTGAGCAGAGAGCGGAGCTCCGGTGACCACCCACTCTGCTCCATGGTGCTTCAGTCAGCAAAGGAGGTAGACTTAGCCTCAGCATGCTAGCACGGGCTGGCTTCCGTGTGACAAGCAGTACTGTTGTAGGGTGGGGTGTGGGTATTGCCTCCCAGGAACCACAGGGAACCTGGGGTGCTGAAGACTTGACAGGGTGGCAACACTGTACACATGTGTGCGTGAAGCAGTTGTGCTACACACCAGGTTTTGCATACTTCATACTTCAGTGAGAGTGATGATCTGACTATGAGAAATGCTGCTAAGGAGGAGCATCTGGTCGTACCAGGGTATGATCAGGACAGGGGGATTATTGAGCCAGTTAAGAGTGCTGAGGTCTGAGCAGGTGCTGAAAGTGTGCACCCAAGGGGGGAAGACGCAGGCGCTCTGACCTGCTGCTCCTTGTTTTGTTACAAAGCCTCTGTGTACAGACATGCTTCTTTCTCGCTACTGTACTGGTTCTAGCTGATGGCAGTCTCCTCGTCTGTGCAACACACACGCACACCCAGGCACGTACACACACGCACTGTTAAGTACACAGCCTCGGGACCAGCAGTTAGCATAATAGCTCTGTTGCTGGACTCCCACGTAGTCGACCGCGGTTCAAGTCCCGGACCCGGTGGCTTAAACTCTTGTCGGGTGCGTGTGCATGCATGCCCAAGATCCCGAGAGGAGAACGGAGGAGAAAGGATTGCAGCATGGCCATCCCCCCTGGGAGGTAATTTCTCACTTTCTGTCTGACTGGCGAGTGCACGCACCCTATAGCAAAAACCTCTCAAAAAAAAGTACACAGCTTCCCACTGTTGCATGCACACACAGCCCCAGATGGCATTTCAACTTCCTGGCACTTCCCTTTACTCTCTGCTGTTGATTTCAGAACACCGTCCACTGTGATCCTGGCGACTCATAACCCGGCAGCTTTCCATTCCCACACAGCTGTGTTCTCTGGAAGGGGATAAGCGTATTTTTGGAATGGACAGAACAAGCAGATATGTTGGTTCTGTGGTTGCCCCTCAGGTGCATTAGAAAGGAAAAGGAGCTATCTAAACCCAAGTGACTGTAGGCATCTCCACCACCATCTCCTCTCCCACTCGCACACTCACCTATTCCCCAAGTGACCAGAAAGGGGAGCAAAGGAGAATGATTCCACAGCATAATGTTTAAATTTGCCTCTTCTCTGACTATATATATATTAAATTTATTCATTTATTTTTTTTCAAGAAAGAGAACACCTTCAACAGGATCTTGGCTCCAGGGTCCACCTCAGCCCCAGCCAGCCCTGTACCATAGTAAGCGTGTGCCTGGCGTATCCAGATCTCCAGATACAATCCTGGGAATTTCTCATATAGATCAACCATACAGTGTGTAGCTTTACTACCTCACACTGTCCAGACCCAGGATGGTTTTAATTACAAAAGACTGTGCACTCAGTAGAGAGACCCAAACAGTACCTGCTAGCCTCAGGCTCAGGCAGGGAGTACTGTTGGGGGGCTTGGAGGGTGTCATGGCCTGCTCAGTTCTCTGTGCTCATGAAAATACTGTATTGTAAGCTTTGATAGAGGTCTTAACCCTAACCTTCCCTGTTGCTCCCCACACCCTGGCCCTTTGGGTGTTTGACACGTTCTGTCATGTTTGCAACCCCGGTCTGGTGTAGGGCAAGAGCACTGCATGCATTTATACCTCCTCCAGCCTCATGGTTCTCCTGTGTGAAGAAAAAGAGCCTCCACAGGATGGATGCAGCCCCTTCCCTGAGTACATATTCCAGCAACACATTACAACACGTATCATGCACCGTCTATCCCAGCAACCCACTCTATTCTATTCTACATCTATTTCAGCCCACAGTACATCCCAGTGTTAGAGCCTGCAGTATTTCCCAACTACACAACCCACAGTATATCCAGCACTATGGCCTGTAATATAGTCCAACAAGGTAGCCTCCAATATATCTCAGCAAGATAGCCCACAATATATCCTGCAACAGGGCCCACAATATAGCCTGCAATATAGTCCACAGTACACCCCAGGAATATAACCTGCAATATTTCACAGCATTATACCCTGCAATATACCCCACAATATTTGCAAGTATTATAGTATGTGATAGATACCAGCAATATGGCTCAGGATATGTACCAGTAATATAGCTCACAATACTGATCATGAGTTGTGATTTGGGGCCAAAATCTTACCAAGTATATACACAGGGTTTTTTTTTGGAGAGGTTTTCACTATAGGGCGCATGCACTCGCCAGACAGACAGAGAGAGACATAGAAACAGAAAGTGAGAAATCACCCCCCAGAGGGGATGGTCACACCACAATCCCTTCTCCTCCATTCTCCTCTCGGGATCTTGGGCATGCACGCACACGTGCCCGGCGTGAGTTTTAAGTCACCGGGTCCGGGATGCGAACCGCGGTCGACTACATGGGAGTCCAGCGACATAGCCATTACGCTAACTGCTGGTTCCAAGTATATACATAGTTTTAAGGTATTTAAGTGAACTCAAAGTTTGCAAGTTCAACTTATAAGATTTATTGAGGAGGATGAAAAGGTTTCATTATTGAGACAATTTAAGTACTTAAAGAGGTAGGATTTATTAAGTTTATGATTAAATGAACTTAAGTTTGTGAATGAAACATTATTTAAAACCCTCTTTTTTTTTTTTTTCCTTTTTTTTGGAGAGGTTTTTGTTATAGGGCATGTGCACTCGCCAGAAATACAGAGAGAGACAGAAAATGAGAAATCATCCCCCAGGGGGGATGGCCATGCCACAATTCCTTCTCCTCCATTCTCCTCTCGGGATCTTGGGTGTGCACGCACACGAGCCCGGCATGAGTTTAAGCCACTGGGTCCAGGACTCGAACCGTGGTCAACTACATGGGAGTCCAGCGACATGGCCATTACGCCAACTGCTGGTCCTTTAAAACCCTCTTTTTAAAATGAAATATTTATTTCTCTCTGCCTCTGCTGACCTTCCCTGGGTCCACTTTCTCTGCTGTGAAGTCCCAAGCCTGGGTTCCCCCCTTCCAGACCCTAGGCATTAGTAAGGTAGGCAAAATCTCTCTGTATCCTGTTATTTTCTATCTTTTCTAACTTAAAACAAAAAAGAAAGAGAAGAGTTCTCTTTCCCCCAGTTTTTCTCTTGCTAATTTGTCTCACCTTCCCTCATACAGGACAGAATAGTTGCAGGCATCTCCATCTCTGCCTCTGCTGCCCTTTTAGCACTGCCCGCGCATCACGTGGTTTTCGTTTTTAACTTAGTTTTATTTTCTGCGATGTGTTTTCTGCTTTTTTGTTTTGTTTGTTATTTCCTTCTTTTTTTCTTTGCCATTTCTTCCTATCTCTGTTTTCTACTCTCCTTTTCTTTTATCTTACTTTCTGATTTTACTGCTCAGCCCTTACCCACCATCTAGAGGGGTCTAGGTGCATAGTAGCCAAACATCTGAATACTGTGAGACTTAGTGAATTCTTCGCCACTCACTGAACTGGTTCTAAAAGGAGAGAAATTCCTCTTCAGAAATCTGATTTCAAAAGTCCTCTTGTGGTGGGAACCAGCAGTTAGAACATACCAGAA